TTGTAATGGTTGTTCTATTTTGTAAGAAGTTTCCGCAGTTGTAGGAAATGTTCCTTTTCATAAGGGAAGTGAATGGGCCTGTGATGGTAAATCAGGCAAAGCTTTTCCCAAGTAATTATACCAATCGAGTTATGTATCTCTTTACAGCCTTACGACAAATCACCGTTCAGCTCAGCGTCAGCTCAGAGGGAAGCCAAAGGCGTTCACTCTCCAAAAGTCTGGGTACTAGTCGGTTGTCGCGATGTCAAACAAGATGGCGCATGTTGGTCATTGATTTAAAGTCGGAAGTGCTTCAAATTTATTGCGAATTCGTTCATCAACAGTGTCTATAGAACATATTTAAACTTTTCAAAGTGTGGTATCCTACGTAGAGAATAATATGTCGACTCCAGTGGTTCAAGATAGGAACGATTCAACCAAGGGAGTGAACGGTAAGTGTGCAAGCTAAAATTGGCTGAATTTTGCAAGAAGTACATGTAGGTGTCAAGTCTTGAAGTTAGCTTTTTTATCTTTGCACTTTTTATTTTAAGCTCAGCTTATGCACTGCAGTAGCATTTCAAGCGGATGCTGTAGCAATGAATAGGGAAATGCTTGATTTATGTGCCCCGGTACGGGTAAATGTTAAAATTTAGCGAGTCGTGTCTACCGAGTACGTAAAGCTTTATGGCCACAAATTTTACTTTTAGGGCATTCAGTATATAAGCAATTTATTATGTGGTTAGCAAAGTGCGGTGCTTTTTTACTACACTGTAGTCCAACTATTTTTCATCTGAGCGACCTACAGAATGATGGTCATTATTTGTTTATGACTCGACTCTACGAACTTGTCAGATTGTCAGGTCTGCTGTGATTTTGATGTCTAGTTAGACCGATACTAAAAAGTTTGAACATCACTGAACTTAAACTTTTTTTGGTCTACGGCTTCACTCCACGCGATTTTTCGTCACAAGTTACATGCTTAAAATGAATTGCATATTGTGTAATTAACACTTTGTTGAAAACAAGGTTTTTTTTACATATTAAGACCTTAAAAAAAAAAATTATAAACCTACAGTATTATCTAAAAATGAAATGACTGATTGTCAGCTGCTTGTTTTGATAATGAAGCAATAATTGTTATTTTACCCTAAACCATGCCATTCAAGGAGTCCATCTACAAGAAAATGAAAGACCATTTTTATATAAACTTGCATGTGGATGATTAATTAATCTGATAATATTTTCTTGGACAGTAGATAATTGAAAAGAAAAGGACCAAAAATGGTTCTGGTGCAAGAGTGTTAGTTAATTTACTGTTTCTCATAGTACATACATGTACAGCATGCATGCTTGTGATTTCCTGAAAAACTTAGTCTGAAGGGGGCACAGGAAGTCGTGAAGATATTTTTGGTTGTAGCACTGGGCAATTTTGGAAGTACTTTTGGGGAATAGAAAATTATTTGCTAATGTTTTTAGGTCAGATTATTTCCAAGAAGGGTTTTGCTTTCATCTGTTATGATGTTTGATTAGATTTCATATATTTTTTGGGCAAGGAAATCAAAGTATGTAGTATTTTTTGTTGTCATTGCTTTGTTTATGTTGTCATATGGGTATTTTTAGGTTGTTCAGTCACAGCTTCACATTATTAACTGCCTGTACAAAATCTCATTTAATACAATGACGGCACTCAAACCAAATTTTTTTTTTTACATATTTTAAAGTAACTATAAAATGAGGGTTATAAAGTTTTGATTATATATTGATTTATACATTTCTGTTTAAATATCAATGGATTTAGGTTTAACTCCAAAAGAGCAGTCTCTCCTCGTGGAGATCAGGAAAAGAAAATCAGAGTTGCTGGTTGAAATTCAGGTACAAAACTATTGCAAATTAAACCTTTTTGGTCCCAAGCTTGAAATGGCAAGATACTCTAATAATACAGATCCATTTCACATACAAATTTTTTGATGATAGTATTATCAGGCTATAGGGATGATGAGAGATTTTAAAATCGTCCCAAAATACCTAAGCCTCAAATAGCATATTTACAACGTGAAGATCGTTGAAATATTTAATTCTAGAGCTTAGCATTTTGACGGTTATGAATTTTCTTATCATCCTTACACCCCCAATTCACTATCATCAAATTTTTGCAGATAATCTTCATGTGCCACTTATACTTTTAATAAATGAGAATTATCCATACATTGGGTAAATTCATGAATCAGACTACATTTTGTGCATTATGCACTTAATTTTTTGCCCTTACAGTATTATGTGTAATGAATAAACCCTTTGCCACCACTTCAAACTGTATATTTCTTGTAATGCTACATGTAGTGCTGAAAAGTTTGTGTTATGTAGAGGAGGATCTACTTTACTTTAAGGGAGACCAGAATTAAATTTATGCCACAAAATTGTCAAGTGATTCAACTGATATAGATATACATGAATGTGGGTTGTTGCTTGTTGGAGCATAGACCTTCTTTCTGAAACCTGAGCCTAGAAAACTTGCACTAGTAGTGTTGGATTTCACAGTTAAAATATTACTTTAAGGTCAAGACCAAAGGTGAATTTTGACAATAATTATTATTTTAAAGGCATGATGTATGATCATGAAATATCTGCCATATCTTGAATTACTTAATTTAAGATCTTCACCAGAACTGTTAACCCAGGACCAGCATACCTTCAAAGGATGCTATTCATAAAGCTTACAGCTTTTGTCTTTACCTTACGAATACTGCTTAATTGACATTGAACTACTTATGAAAGGATTGCCATCAAATCACCAATCTGCAAGTTGATTTAATTGATTTTTGCAATGTTCATGATGTTTTGCCAGTTTTTCTCTTATTTTCTCCTTCCTTAGATTCAGTTGAGGCATGCCTGATAATTTTCTTTAACAATGAAGGAAACTGTGTTCTTGAAAAAAGTATGTTGACCTCATGTTCACCACTTATTTGCCTTATTATTATAGCGACTCAAGAACGAGATAGCAGACGTAACAGCAGAAATGGATTCCATAGAACAGCGTGACAATGGGTAATTGAAGTTATTTGCATTTTAGGTCATAAGAATAGACTATGTGTGAAACAATTGAATCATAGTGATGGGAAAATCACCATCATGTAGATGAAGTTATATTTACATGTTTCTTGTGTAGCAAGGAGAACAGTATCATTTGCAGCCAGTATTCAGGACTTGCATGGTTCTTGAAAACTCATGAAAATTTGCCAGATCCTTAAGAAGTCCATGAAGAACAATCAAAATGCATTGTAGGTTTTTTCCCTTTAGAGGTCCTTGAGTATCATTTTATCAGCAGTCTTTGAAAGTTTGAGACTATTGATGGGAAAGAAAACTTGCCACCCAAATATGCCAAGTGCCACAACAGACATAATTTTGATGATGCCAGATATTTGTGATTTGTATCTTTTTGCCTCCCCCCTTCCTAGACAAATGTTATGATGGTTCTGTTGAAAGCAATCTAGAATATTTCTGTTGAATTGTCATTGAAAAATCCTTGAATGGACATATTATCCATCAGAGAGCTTCATTAATAATCCTTATGACTTACCTACATGTATGCTACGGAAACCAGAGATATACATTCGCCGAAACTATTCAGCTGCTAATTATAAGCTTGTGTAATCTTTTGTGAGCTGCTAGAGACTGGACTTAAACGAGTTTTAATTGAGCTGATGTTGTTGTGAATAGTTCTAAGGATGATCCAAGGGCTAAACAGTTATCCACAGGAAAGAAGAAGTTCAACATTGATCCTGATAAGGTGAGTCATTTTTGTGTTCTGCCCTTTACAGAACTATTTGATTGTGAACAGCCTTTATTCACTGGACAACAATTTAACGTACATGTACTACTACTTAAAAGGGAAACCTTGATTATTTCAGTCTACTTCTGGACTTTTTTCTCTGGTGCCATTATGTGCATGAAGATAGCTGTCAGTTTAGGTTTGAGTCAGCTGTTGCACACCAATAACAATCATTTTGCTTTTTGGTTGATTATAGAATTTATATTTAATTTTTTTAGCAATGTGCAGGTCCAGAAAATACTCCCTCCACAGAAGGGATTGGAATTTCCTGGGCGATGGGGGGTTCTGTAAGACCAAAAACTTTAAAGAAATGTGTGAAGCTTTACCGGAATTTCCAGAGGGGTGGGGGGTCTTAGAAAAAAATCCCTTCTGTGGGGGAGATATGGGTATTTTCTGGAACTACACAATGGGGTCAAGGGCTCTTCAGTCATACTCGGCTGTATGTAACAGGTTTTACACTTGATGGCCCTTTATGACAGCCCTGATGAATAATTATCACTGACTGCAACATAGTGTCAGTAAATTTCCAGCACAGCCCAGGGTGGGGGAGGGATCAAACCAAAAAAGCCTGGGGAGGTATATTTTCTTAAAGGACACACTACAACTTTCAAGGATGACAACTTCACTATGCACTCATAATGCACACATAGTTCTTTGACCAATGCAAACTAGTCGACTTCAACATTTTAGGCCACTGTAAAACTCTACATTATGGACAGGTGATTGTCTGGTATTTTATATAAAACTATTTATTGTAATTTCATCCAAAGTTTATTTTTATTTTGTGCCTGGTAATATTCATATGTTGATTATACAGTTGTATAATTGAAGAAACTATTTATCAGAGTCCAAGGAAGTTTGGATAATTCCGGGCAGGGGGGGGGGGTACTCCCTTATATGGGCTATATAGGTATGTGTGGGCCCAAAGGGTAGGGTTTTTCAGCCATTTTAGACTACGAGTAGTCCCTCTTTCACTTAGTCCGTCATCCGTGACACGAAAGAAAACTGTGAGAAAAAAATGGCTGCCTGAAATCCTGGGAGTGAGAAGCACATGAAAGGAGGGAGTACCGCCTTCAAAGCCTAAGAGTTTGCCCTCTCATGGCGAGTGATTTTTCAGTGTAGGATTTCTCATCTTGACGTCCTCTTATTATCGCCTGTTGTCAATAACCCTTGGAGATGTTTTGAATAAAATGACTCTTTTATTCAAGTACCAGGTAGCAAGGCAAAACCATGCCGTGAGAAGTATATCTTTGTCATGGTGTTCGTTAGGCGAAACTGCTAAAGAAGTTTCGAAAAGAAGACAGCAAATATTCAGCAAAGGAGGCATCTTGTAACGACTTTTTTTGGGAAATTTTCAAATGCAGAGTTCAACTGAAAATTTACATTATGTATTTGACATAGGAGATCGTCCATCTGCAGTGACATGTTTGCCAATAGCAGCAGAGAGTTTCAAGTGAAAGTCTGCTTCAATCTTTCAAATGGATGGCAGGAAGGCCAAGCTCAGTCAATTCATATTTACGGAATTGTTCTTCAACAATGCTGTTGACCTAGTGTTAAGCTGCAAAATCACTAACATGCTCACATTCGGGTTTGAGGCGAAAAGCTTTGCCAAAAAAAACATTAGATAAATTCAACTCTTTCCATAGCCTGATGGTAGAATTGCAAGAACATCACAGCCTGTGAGACGCCATTCCAACGCTTTGATTTGCTCTGGTTCCAAAGTTTTTTATTTTCAGAGAGCAAGATTAACATTCCTGCAAGACATCACAGGTACCTCGAATGATGACAACGTGCTGTCAACGCTCCAAGCATAAGCCAATCATATTTTTTTGTTGTGAGAGCAAGGCATAATTCAAAGTCTTAGGCTTAGGCGGTAGTCCCTCCTTTCATGTGCTTCTAGCTCCCAGGATTTCATGCGGCCATTTTTTTCTCAAGGTTTTCTTTCACGTCATGCACAACAGACTAAGCGAAAGAGGGACTACTTGTAGTCTACAGCCATTTTGGTCATAAATAGGATATTGATTTTGGCCATTTTGGTCTTAGGTAGGGTATGGTTTTAGCACTCTAGTCTTGAATCGGGTATGTTCCTTAGAAGAAGCTGCTATTTCATCATTATAAATAAGACCATCAACAAAAGCCTTTCATAACTTATGTTTAGGGCAACTGTGCCAGCTACAGAGGTTACAAATAGGGTATGGAATTGTTGGCCAGGTCATAAATAGGGTAGCCTAAATTGCAGATTTTGGTCATAAATAGGGTAAGGCTTTTAAGAAGTGGGCCGCACACCCCTACCCAACTTTTCTGGGGGTACTCCTCCCCTTGGGGGATAGTCATGGTTCGATTTACTAGGTTCGACCTGAAAATTTCCACACTTGTCTTAGAATGATGCACATGTACATGTGGCTCTACATAGATTCAGATTATTGTTGATTGGTTGCTACTTTTACAGACCTGAAAACTCAAAATCAGGCCAGCATGCGACAATAATCAGAAACACTATATGATATGGGTCCCTTTGGAGCTAATATATTAGGGTATGGATATTGTAATACATGTAGGTGAAACTTGAATACATGTACTCTGAAGTGGGAAAGAATCGAGCAACTAAATATCATACCTCCCCAGGCAGGGGGGACAGCTGTTTAAATACACTATGCAAGCAGATGCAAAATTCATTTATTTTGTTAACCTGCTAACAAATTTGGCACCATATTACAAATGTATAGAGCCATGTCTCATGAGGACTGGGAACTTCCAAATTTATAAATATGAGTGCACTCTAAAAAATGTTCTGATCTAGACCAGTGTCTAGACCACTTTTAGCTATGTGACATTTGCTGGAGAAAACTACAAGCAAAAAGGCGTGTTTCTGCTGAAGATACTGAATGGAAAAGTCAAAAAGACTTAATGAGAACAAGGTAAAAAATACCCATCTTTGGCAAATTTAAGCTCAGTTCATGCAGTCAAAACACCAGCTGAGGGTGAAATTGGGATGTTTTAAGGAACCCAAGTGTAAAGCACTCCATACAAGACTAGAAGCACCTTTAATGGCTGTAAGGATTTCTGTTGTTTTAAAAGTAAAGAGGTGGGAGAAATTGAAAACAACATTTTTTTGTCCAGGCAAGTAATATTTCATCTCCATTTGCAAGCAAAATGGCAGTGATTATGAACTCCTACCCACCTTACCCCTCCTGGAACTCCTACATTATGTGGCTTTTGTCAGAAAATTTAAGAGCTACTGTTTGGCCATACAGATATAATTAACATAAGCCAGGCTAAAGGTTGGTCTCTTTGGGAGATACATGACCATGGCCATGTCATGAGTACAGACCTTAACTGCATTTGGTCAAGATTCTTCCATACAGACCTCTGGTTCAGTTAAATAAGAACTCATATTTTGCTATTTGTACTCCAGGGGATCAGTTGAACAGATAACAAGATGGTCCTTTTAAGTGTTCCTACCACATCATTTATTTCACAAACATAGTTCTCGTAATCTTTCATTTTGGACCCATTTCTTGTACTTTAGGGATCATTATTAGTATATACTACTATGGCGCTACACATCAAAATATTAATAAGATATTCACTGTTATTGTAATAGATAACCTTTATAACAGTGTGAATGGTTTTACACATCTATCACTATTCATGGATATTTAGCAGACAGCAAAAACCATATTTTCCTGTAGAAGTGAGGTAAAAAATTGAGATAAATCAGATTGAGGCTTGTGGTATGTTACATTATGCCACCAATTAAAAATTCATTAACATTTGCTGCCAACAGCTGGTGGCAGAATTGTCTATAGATAATCTCTGGATGACACAGTCTTAAATATGTACGGATAAATTTTGCACCAAATATTTTTAATATTAATTAATGTGTAATATAGAGTGTGGCTGAAAAAGAGGAACAACACTATCTCAGGGAATCTCTTGTATTGCACTGAAATTTCACCCAGTTCTGCTTTCTGTATAGGTAGGATTGTTTTCCCCATCATTTATTACCTATCAAGACATTTTACTTTTTTCATTTTTAATTACGTAGAATGACATGGTCTTCCACAAGTTACTATAAATAATAATCATTTTTTCAAGGTCCTTGTTAAATGTTTTGGAACTGAATTTGATTCTGAGAAGATATCGTACATGAAGGTTGACAATTTTTGGTGGTTGGGAAAAATGTAACGACAGTTCAACAGAACAACAAAACATGATGGTTATTTTGGTCACAATTCATGCATTTGCATTGACGCACCACCATCTTGTCAGAAATCAGGAGCTTCATTAACATTTTTTATCAGGCAGGCAACTGGTTTTCACAGGTGGGCAAAACTTTTTGAACTGAAGTTCTTTTTAAGAGAAACTTTTCTCTATATGGTTAAACCAGGTGGGCAAAATCATCCTCACACCCAATCAATTTGCCCGGTGCCTGTGGCCCTTATTGAAAGCCCTGCAGCACTATGTTACTTTTTCTAAATCCAGATTAAACTGAGACAAGATTCAACGAGGCATGACTTACTTTAGCTTACTTGCTTAATCCTTTCCGTATCTTAATCCCCCTCCATTCATCTTATAAGTTTCAATGAGGCATGAGAAGTGTTCAAACTCAGGCTCTAGTTTGACTGCCTGTTCTTAATAATTATTGTGTGACCTCCCAAGCTCGTATATTTTGGCAGCACGTTTGACTGTGTAATGATGATTTTTGACTCATGGAAGAGAGTCAAAGAAACCTGTTGTTTAATTCACATCCCTGTACCCGAGCAGAGTCTTGTCAACCCTCAGTTATGTCTTCTTTGGCTTAGAAAAGAATTTACATGTAATTGCAATAGTTAAAAGTACCTTTTATAAATTTTCTTTTTGTTAAACTTTTTCACAGGGAATGGAATACCTGATATCTAACAACCTGCTAAACAACACTCCAGAGGACATTGCTGACTTTCTTTTCAAGGAAGAAGGGTTAAATAAGACAATGATTGGAAATTATCTTGGAGAAAAGTAAGTTGTGCTTATTTGGACTGCATGACAACATACTGGGAAATTTTTGCTCAAAATCTTGGCAAGTAGAGACAAGGCATGAAAATGGTTGTTGTTCATAACTTGTACTTTTAGTAATGTGTGCTGTACATACCATAATCATTTCCTGCTTGACTGATTTTTATTCTTGGCTTTTAACATCCTTTTGACAACTTTGTCATGGGTTCTACTGATTACTGAGGTAGGAATTCTAAACAGCATCTTGGGTAAGATTCTGTAGGACTACGACAGGCTCCCATGTAGTGCTTCTATAGGCCTGTTCCAGGTTCTTTAAATTTGGCAGGATCCTAAGTATGCATGTACAGTCAGAATTCAAATAATATTAAAGTGAGTTGCCATTTCTATTGAGCATGCTATTAAAGGGAAGTGTCTAGATCTTACAGTATTCTATACCATCGTGTAGTCCTGATCCTGAGGGAGGTTTCTACCAGGGTTTAATAAACTGTATCACAGGTCTACCCTGGCCTACACTAGTGTGTGGTTAGACCAGCATGAAAATGGGTCAGATATCTGTACGACCATCCCAGAAGACATTGCTCTCCTTATAAGTCCTCTCACTGAAAGCGATATGGTTAACAGAATGGAACCTTGTAAATGAACTATACGAATATGCACTTGAGAATATAAAATAATAGCTACTTGTCTGTTCTGGAAAGTTTAGTTAGGATATGATCATTGCTGGGCTATTTTGGGGTAAACTGTAATAGTTTGTAACAGGAGTTCAATTTAGTGATTATTAATTTAATCCACAGCAAAGAATTCAATCTGGAAGTTTTCCGATTGTTTGTTGAGCATCATGATTTCACAGGAAGATCATTAGTAGATGGTCTTAGGTAAGTTCAGTGAGGTAACGTCTGTTACTTAAAGAGACTGAATTTGCAATGGATTCAGGTTAGGTTTTTAACATTTTTTTCTGTAGCATCAGTTGTAATGGCTGATTTGATTGTGCCGTGAAACAAAATGTCTGACATTGCTAGAATGACAAAGTTCTGTCTAAGAAAAGGTGTGTTGCGATGGATAAAAATGTGAACCATATGCAAGAGTGGCCACAACATGAGCAAGACACTAATTACAGTACCTCTCTGCCCAGGTGTACAGTCAAATGGATACCAGAAAATTTAGTAGTGGAGGGTGACCCTGCAATGATCTAGAATCCCACATCAGGGAAAGAAGAAATGTTACCTAGCTTTCACTTAATTTATACTACAAAAACCAAGATAAATTCTGGCAAGATGGAATGTTTTGACCTTAAGTAGACTTAACCAGTTTACCAGAAATGTTGATTCCCAACTTAAGAATGAGAGGTTCTGATTACGTGAGGAAATTCTCCCAAGGAATAAATTATACATGTATATTAATCAAGGAGGAAATTGAAGCTGACCTTGAAATGGCTAGACAATGAAAGCAGAGTTTAACAATGATTTTTTCTTAAATCTTCTTGTAGGCAGTTCTTGTGGAGTTTTCGTCTTCCTGGTGAGGCCCAGAAGATTGATAGAATGATGGAAGCATTCGCAAAGAGATTTTGTGATCAGAACCCTGGAGTGTTTACATCATCTGGTTAGTGAAGTCATAGAGGGAGAGATAAGAAAAATGTCTTTTGTTCCCTTTCTTAAATAGGTTTTGTCAGAGTCCAGTGCTCTATTCTTTAGACTAGTACTATTTTACATTTACATCAAGTTTAATAAGTGGTGTATTTTGACACTCAGATGGACAGTCAGACCTAGATATTTTTTTTAAGAAAAGAGCTTGTGCACATAGTACAGTCTCTTGTAATATTTCTTATTTACATATGATAAGAACACAATCAGGCTCTTAATTTCCACTACCACAACAGTGACAACATCTATGAAATTTAATTAAGTGATGCTGTGATACAGACCGTATCACATGACACAAAGAGTACTTTCTAATTAATGAGTTATCTGGATGGCAAATAAATTTCAAGTAGTTGTCATATCCTTCTGGAAAGTTGAGTATACTGAATTTGGATTGGTTCTCACTCCACAGATACCTGCTATGTTCTAAGTTTCTCACTCATCTTGTTAAACACTAGTCTTCACAACCCAAGTGTAAAAGACAAGGTAAGTGGAATCAATTTTCTTTGAAATTCAAGAAATTCTCCTTGGTCAATCTGAGACTGACAGATATTGTACATGTAATTACTGTGAGATCTTGTCCTTATAAGTAATGTTAATAAAGATCCATGCCTGCTAACTTTGGTTTGCATTTTGTAGCCTACAGTAGAGAGATTCATCCAAATGAACAGAGGCATTAACTGTGGAGAAGATTTACCCACTGACATTCTTGTGGTTGGTACTTGATAATTTGCTCGTAAATATAACAAGCATTATTTTCTTCTGGTCCAGAAAAAATTTTGAAGTAAGAATAAAAGATAGAAAATCTTTTAAGTTGTTATGATATTATAAATAAGATTGTTTTAAGGGAAGGTTCCACTATGCTTACATTAGGCAAGTCTGAGAATTAGGTTAATTTTAGGTATTGGGGAAAGGAATAAGAAGAAGGAAATTAGGTACCGCTAGTTGTTATTGTTACCCTTTGTAAGGAACCACATGTGGAGTAACAAGGGACAGTTCCTTTTTAAACTCGATCACACTTTTTGTTTGTATTGTAGAGTTTATATGAAAGCATCAAACTTGAACAATTCAAGATCCCAGAAGATGATGGAAATGACATAACCAGAACATTTTTCAATCCAGACAGAGAAGGCTGGCTTATAAAGGAAGGTAATGAGATACCTCCCTTTTCTTTCTCAATAAATAAGAGTTTAAATTTCTGATTAATATGACTGTGTTTTTTATTTTCAAGGTGGATTGCACAAAAGTTGGAGAAAACGATACTTTATCTTAAAAGATAATTGCCTTTATTACTTCAAGAATGTAGGGGTATGTATGCCTACAGTGTGTTGAGCTAATATATAGTATATATTTCAATTCATTCCTCTTTGACATTATGTGAAATTGAAATATCTACTCTCAAAGGCTCTGCTGTGACTTTTCAATGTATTTCTTTAAAATAAAAGTAGATTGACCTGGTTGTCTTGTAAAGACAAAAATGTATTAACATTTAATTTTTTTTTCTCTTGACTTTTTGTGTTTCAATATGAAATACATGTATTATTATAATTATTGAGTTCTCAGCCATTTGATATCCAAATGAGGAGACAGGGGTATTCTGCATTGTGTTGAAGACTGTTGACTCCTTTTACCTTGTTGTTGCACCTTCTTAACCAAAGTACTTATTATTACAGGCTCAACTGTAATGACAGCTATTGCCTGGCATTTACAGTTAAATTTAAAATGTTAGTTATGATCATTTGGACTTTTCAATAAGACAATTATTAAAATTTCTTTAAAGGACAAGGAACCCCGTGGTATTATTCCTTTGGAAAATCTTCAAGTGAGGAAAGTTCAAGATGCCAGGAGAAAGGTAATTTTGATGCTAAATACTCCTTCTTAGTGGGTAATGTTTAATAATTTTTATTAATTTTAGAATGTGTAAAATATTGAACTGACAGGATTTTAAATCACCTATCTTATGTCTCTCCAGTACTGCTTTGAAATATATTCTGCGGACAATTCATCTGGACTTATAAAAGCTTGTAAAACAGACTCAGAAGGGAAGGTTGTAGAAGGTTTGTATCATGTCAAGTGAATTAGACAATAGACATGCATGTATTGAGACCGGTGACTCTACTTCCATGTTTTCAGATTAGATATGCCTGCCATGTCCTGAGGAAACATTACTGAACATCTGATCAAACGTTTTGGTCGTGTCTTGTCAATAAAATTTGATGCACAAAGTGTGATGTTAGGAGAATCGTTAATTCAAACTGTAGCCTCACTATTCAAGTGGAGCAAGTGCTAGTTTTAGTACTGGTAAAACCTTTTATTGTTATTTTTAAATCACAGATTGCACTAACACTCTTTTGGGCCTTCCTTGCAGGTTTCTGGTATATGAGGGTTTTCGAATTTGCCAGAACTGGTTGGAGCAATGATTTATAATTAGGAGTTTGAAACTCTTTTTTCTCCTGTGATTTTTGTCTTATGATGGGAATGACCAGGAAAAAGTTAAATAATGACAATTAAGTTAATCAAAAGTTAATAAATAGGTGATCTTGTTTCAATATTTAACCCGAAACTACTATCCAATGACATTGTGGTGTATCATTGCAGCAGTATGCTTCCACACAGATTAAAATTCTTTGTAGTTTTGTTGCTCTTGAAACAAATTTAGGCCAGCAAAATTTGTATTTTCCTTTGTTTTAGATTTATTACCATAATCCTAAGTCAAAGGAAAATGCAATATTGATTTAACCAATGATGAATTTTTCAGGGCACCATGATGTTTATCGTATCTGTGCAGTCTCTGAGGAAGAAAGAGAAACCTGGATTGGCTGTGTAAAGTGAGTTGAACCAAATCATCAAACAAACAATTGTTCATGCCATGCATGTGAATGTAGCCTTCCCCTAGCCATTCTAAGGGTGCTTCCCATGCTCTTCAAAGAGCCAACTGATGTGAAATACAGTAAGAGGGTTTTTGATACAGTGGTAGAGAGTTTTGATGTTATCACCTGTTGGTCCAGGGCTCATGCTTTCACCCTGCCTCTTGCTAGGCCAGTTCTTGCAAAGTTCGGGCAAAATTGTCCTCACAGTCGGTCAATTTGCCTGGTGCCCAGCTCTTAATGAAACCTGTGTGACTTTATTATTGTTTGTAATTTGCGATGTCATGAGCTACAATGATGAAATACCAGGGTACTTGACTGATACCGATATTCACTGACTTGTGAACCTTGCTCTGAAAATAGTCATTTTCCTTTTCAGGGCCAGTATGATAGTCGATCCCTTTTATGACATGCTTCAAACAAGGAAAAAGAAGGTCACCCAGGGAGCATTAAACTAATAATACTTAATAGTACAGGAACTTTTTTACAAAATAGTTTGTATAACTCTTTGAATATCTGCCATATCTATACTCATTTAACCCATCCCCCATTCTGCTAGCTGGCACAAAAGCCAGCAAGAAGATTCAGTCATTTCAACTGGTTTTTTTTTTTTCGCATTTCTCTTAATCAAGCTCCAACTTAGTTGGTACATTAGAGCTCTTCCTCTACCTTCGTGTACTATGTTAATTGTTTAAATTGGCCATATCTTTTTAAAAGGCTTTCTAAAAAGCTGATTAAAAATGGTAGACATGTACTTGTAGGCTTGTTATGAAGACATTATCATACTACAGCTAAAATTATTTTAGTCATTTATTTTCACACAAGAACTTTTTGAAATTTTTGGGACCTTTAGATTTTACCACGAGTACGAGATTGAGTGCAAGTACGATTTTCGAATTTCAAACCAGTGACATTTCCAGAGCCCTTACTCGTCATGTTGGTTTTAGGTAAACAGGGTAGCTCATGGGATGAGATGGGTATGTGATGTGATAATGTGAAGCCTGCAAACTAGAATTGAAAAGTCGTACTCGTACTCTATCTCGTACACGTACTCAAATCTAAAGTCCCCTATTAAACAGGTTCACAGTTTTACATAATCTTTGGATTTTGTCATTTAGTGGCATAAGTTTTGAAAATATAATAATACAAAAGTTCTCATGAGGTCTGAAACTACTTTGTAAAATGATTTTTAAAATCCAATCTTTCATCAATCTATGGCATTGTCAGAAAAACAGGACTTATCTCTAAAGTTTTCATCATTCTATCCCTTATGATGTCATAGATCAGCGAAACCTTGGATTACAGTAGTTTCAGGGGTACTTACCATTTACATGGGAAAACCGGAAATTCCAGTTGGAAAATCAAATGGTTCGCACCATTCCAATTGGGAAGCTTCAGAAAATATGGGTTGTGATTTGAGGTGATGCTATTTTTCTGCTCTTTTAAGTCTCTCTAGCTGATGTGGATATACGTTATAGCGATTCCCTCTCCCGCGACGTCATTTAATTGTTTAATGTTTAATGTTTATGCCTAAAATTTCCAACCGGATGGTTTTTGTAAATGGTAAGCACCCCAGGTCTCATTTGAACTTTTGTATTATTATTTTCACTTAACAGTTTAGTTGTCAGGTTTTCTCATTCAGTACTAATCTCAACCAGTAAAGTTATACAGTTAGTCAGCATATTCAGTGCTGCTGCGGAACAATTTTTTTTGTGTGTGACTGTACGAACCCTTTCAGTTAGTGTCCAGAAATCTCATATTTCAAGTATATTGGAAACAAATAGTTCAACATGAAAGTACTACTCAATAGCTTTCATTTGCATGTCCACAAATGAAAGGTGAATATAGAATGATTTAAAACTGTTTAGAAATGACAGATTAAAAGGATTAAGTTATAGTGAAAGTAATCTTCACATTTACGAAATTGCTTACTAATAGCTATTTTAAAGAACCCAGGAAAATGTGACTTTTCTAGACTCAGTTTTATTTACGGGCTTTCGTTACAAAGTGCTGATTCATAACTTCTAAGAGTACTTTTAAAGTTATAAATTTCTGTCAGCAGTTCGCTCGTGATTTGGTTGCTGAGACACTTTGGATATCAACTCATCTCAGAATTTTTAAAACTTATCTTTCTGTGCTATTACATGTAAAGGTTAAGTAACTGTTGTAGTCATTTGCACCTTTTGTATGATTGGTACATAATTTAAGGCAAGAAATCAGTTCACCAAAACATTCATTGGAACCCTCTGTAAATTCAGAATAGAGGTAATCCATTCCTCAAATATTCACTTTTCTAGCCCCAATATTTAAATGCGACTTCTCAGTGCGGACCTCCGCACTTTCAATTCTGTGATACTTTTGAGGAGAATTTGTTGAAATATCAAATGCTATTTTCTTTTAGAGATAACTTGCATTTTTCTCAATGTGTGTCTAACTTTGTGGATATACTAGGAGAAATTGAATGTTGATCTAATTAGTTAAGACTGGAATGTTCAACAAGTCAAGGAGGAAGGCTAGGTCTCTATATTTTGGGGCATTCAAAAGCTAATAATGTACATGCAAAAATTTCAGCTGCTGCTTGGCTGAGAGCTCATCAATTAATCCCAAACAGTGCAGAAAGGTGAAGTAGAGTAAAGTGAAGTAAAAATTTAAATGTCTAATATACCGGTATTATTACCAAGTGGTCCAATGATTTTTTCATGCAATTTGGAATACATACACCCTTGTAAATTTTCCCGACTATTTTTTTAGTCTGAAAAATTTACTCTTATTCATTTATTTAAAATTGCACTCGAAATCATTTGATTACCTGTACAAATTGAATAATATTTGTAAGCTGTAGAAGAGAATGAATTGCCAAAGTATGATTGCATAATGACGGCAACTACATCATTTGTTAGAGTTTATTTTCTCAGATTAGCCTGAAGAAGTCTCTTCCTTTTTGTCAGCTTTTCCATGGTGATTCGCAAAATTAAAAAAAAATTCTGGTTGAAATTGCACCAGATTCCAGATCTGAGTGAGGAAAAGTGGGAGAATACTCACGGTCTGTGGTTTTTCAACTTTAGCTTAAAAATTATGAATCTTTCATTAATCTAATAATTTAGTTAGAAGCTCTGAAGTGGAGAAAACTAGCAAGAGTTGTCTCATACGAAATTTCTCTTCGAGTGTTGAAGAATATTTTTCAACACGAGAAGAGAAATTTCGTATCTCCTAGCGGCCATGTAATGTTCTATTTATTACATAAATGCCAATGAGATCCCGAACCATTTCACTTTCGCTGCGAAAGGCACCATTTATTATGTAACCATAGCAACGGTGATCTCTTCGTATGCGATTTCAGGCGTGAAGATATCAGGTTTTCGTGCGGAAGCTCACCTGGTATTTCATTGGTTTTTATATAAGTAAAAAGAACATTGGTTAGGATTCTTTTATAGCTAGAGTCCCTTGTACATACAAGAAGAGCTTATATACAGAAATGGTAGAAAATTATTGTGTTTTGTATTATCCAGCCCACATCAAATAGGGACACTGAAGTTGAAGTGATTAACTTTTGTTTCTGATAGATTTAGAATTGTCTTGCATTACAAATTTAACAACTTGTTTATAAGTCTTATATGGGAAACTCTGATAGACAGTTTTTGGTCTATTTGCAAAATATTTAGAATCAGTTGTGGATGTTTGGTTATTGTTTTTGAAATTAAGGCCTTTTAGGTATCATGAACCCCTCTCCAGAAGAGGTTTCTAAACTTTACCAAGACTTTGACTACAAACGACAAGAATCAAGCTGTACGTATATATGGGTTATTGACCAAGTGTGAGGTCAAGATGGCTGGATATTGGCCAAGTTCTTTTTTTGCGTGTTTATGGACCGAAGCGGAGTCGAGGTCCATAAACATGCAAAAAAGGAACGAGGCCAATATCAAGCCATCTTGGCCGAACAAGCTTGGTCAATAAAGGATTTATTTTATGGCTTTTGAGGAAATTTTTCTTCCGGGACACGGCGGGTAGTCCCGTGCGGGCAAGATAGCTCCATCTTGCCCGCTCGGGTGGTCAATCACAGAGCAGGATTTGGTTCATCTTGCCCGCTCACGGAGCTAGCCATATAATAAAGGAGAATCTTTGTTTACAATATTTGCCTCATTACCATAAGCGATGCAGTTCCTGATGGAGCTACAAAGAAATTAATACTGAATATTGAAAGGGCACAGCACGATTAACTGTCCCAAGGAATTTGAGCGCGATGTATTGAATACCTTTTGTGCGACGAGGTTTTCAAAGCTCAAAATTTTACAAAGAATGTGAGCTCGTTAGCGCTTTTGCCACACAGAAATTTTGATGTTTTTGAAAGCCAATTTCTCCTCGACTACACCCAAAGAGCCAAAAATTTCACCACTTACTAAGTTTCACAAGCTCTTTAAGTTTTTCAACTAAAATCATGTCTAGCATGATGCCTTCTATGCGCAAAGTCGTATATTAATGCACAGGCAGCCCAAGCTCTCTCTATGAACCACACAAGCAACACAATATGGCATAGAATTATAAGGGTTTATATGGGATTTTCTACAAGATAT